TTCTATATATTATAGACATAGTGACCTATGGCACCTGACACGAGATTGGTTTGTTGAGCTCAAATCCGGGTTCAAGTCAATGTACACTAATACAATGCTTTGGACGCCCTCAGTTGCCCTTGGACACATGAACTACACTAAAATCTATAGAATATTCTTAACATACAATTTAAATTTACCGGTTAATAAACAGCTAACACATTCTGAACCTTGTAATTTTGAAACCTTTGTACCACTAAACATAGCGTGCCAACTAGTACAGGTTCACAGTATAAAATGGTACCATAGGTTCGCTATATGATAACACACTTTTGCATGTTACATTTATCAACAAAAACTACCTGTTGACAGTTTCCAAATAAATGTAACAGAATTTACACATTCTACAATCTAGATCATTTCAAAGTAAGCGTTCAAACACTTGAAAAGTTCAAGTTCACCATTCTCATCACAATAAATGTAACTTGTTCAAAGTCGTTTATGGGGTTAATTTTTTTTATTTAATAAGTAATATTATATATCACAATTTTATAGATTTAAATTTATTTCAAACCCATAAACTACTTAAAATATGTAACATTTATTGTGAATGCTAAAGTGAACTTGAACTTTTTAAGTGTATGCATGATTATATCATATCATAATATTAATCACTATAAAATAAATTAATTATTTAACAATATCATTTAATAGTCACATATTAACGTATCTAGGTTATTTACACAAATCATGACAACCACGTATAACTTCGAGGGAAAGGTAGCCCTAATCACGGGCTCGAGTACAGGCATCGGCGCCGCCATTGCCGTACTGTTTGCCCGAAGTGGTGCCCGCGTTGTGGTGAGCGGTCTGAACGGCGCTGACGTGCGTTCGGTGGCCGACGAGTGCGCGCGAGTCTCGCCGTCCGGTTCGGCGGCACTCGAAGTCGTCGCAGACTTCCGGCGCGAGTCTGACGTCCGGCGACTCATTGACGCCACTATTGAAACGTACGGACAGTTAGACGTATTGGTGAACTGCGCCGGCGTTTGCCTGTGGGCTGACATAACAGACCCGGATTACGTGGAAAAGCAGAGGCAGACACTGGATGTGAATCTGAATTCAGTCATACTTTTAACACATTTATCGGTTAAATATCTGGAGGAAAGTAAAGGCACAATAATTAATATATCGAGTGCTCTGGGTACTAAACCGGTAAGTTTTTTTTGAATATCTAGATATATTTATTATTACAAAGATTATATAATACATAAATTCTGTTTTTATTTTATTTTTATGTATTTATAGTATTTTACATCTCTCTCTCTCTCTCTCTCTCTCTCTC